TTGATTATTGTAATATCACTACCAGTGTCTAGTTGCGTTTTTGCATCCATATTATTAATTTTCAATTACACAAATTATTTTTTCGTCGCTTTTCTTTGCTTTAGTTTTACCGTGTGACTTTTTATACCTTACTTTTACACACTTGGAGCACTTTGAATTCTTAAAAACACAGTCATCTCCAAGATGTAAACTTACACATGTGAAACATGGATTAATTTTCATTTTCTTGTTTTTTTTTTTCTTTAGCTTCTCTGTATGTGTATTCTTTCTCTTCAGTTTCTTCCATATCGCGTCACAGATTTAAGATCCTCTGATATTCGTCCGGTATTTGTTGTAATGTTAGTTTTTTATTTTGCTTAAGTTTCGTTAGAATTCAAGCACATATTACTGCGTCTATTTTCGCCCTTAAACCTTGAAAGAAAATTAACTCATTATACATCTTCGGAGTCAGTTCGTTTAATTTGAATTCTTCACACTATTTGTTAACGATTCCAGCATATGTGACAAAATTTTCATCTTTTTTTTTTCATCACGTTCGTACACTTCCAATGAGTAATGAATAACGAACTTCTCTTGCTGAAAATTTTAGTCAGATTATTTACTATTTCTTAAATGCAAATTTCTGCTTTAATTTCGGTAGTAAAAAAATGCAGTATTATTCACGTTCTGCCAGTGCGAACTATCTCAACAAAAGTCTTGTCTTTGTCTCGTCTTCCAGTTTTTGTCTCGCTGCAGTATTCTCTGAAATTGAAAAATCTTCTAAAATAAGCAGAATAAAGTAATTCCATCATCTGAATTGTATGTGAAAATTAAGCTATACTATTTTCTGTAGAGTCGGGATTGAAAGTGCTTGGGGAATTTTCCATTTTCTTACTTATTACTTTAATTTAATTATTTTTTTTTTTATTTTTGTTTCTGGAGTTTGAACAAATGCTAATTGTTGAAAATTGACTAATGCATGGAATATTAATACAACACAAAATGTACTTAGAAAAAAATGTATTGAAACAAGAAAGTGTACACAATATTTACATTTAGTCTTTTGTATATTCTTGGTAAGACCGTTCCTGGAGAATGTGTTGACTTAGTCGCAGTCGGTCAGAGTCTCTGGTTGAATCTCTTGATTCCTCCCTCTCTTCCCGATATGGTCGGTACTCCACTATGAAAATTAGGTGGATCCTACCACAACACTAATGCAGTATTTTTATCACTTGGGCTAGTAATTCTTCCATATTTCAAGAATATCTGGGTTTCACTTTCATATATTTTCGTTTTTACACGCACTAAAATAAATAAAAAAAAAAAACCAACGTGGTTCTAATTTCTCGTCCTCCATGTTATCATACGAGGCGAATCAAACAAATATTTATCCTAATACGTATGAGTTTCGAGCCTTCATCAACACTGTTATATCTCGCTTCTACAGGTCTTGCTTAGGCTACTCGCCGTAACATCATTAGAAATTCTCTCCGACTTAATCCAATTGACTAGTATTAACACATTCTCCCGACTGAGACGAGATGTCGAGTTTAATATGGGGAACCCGAGCGCATGGATTCGGGCTAATGGTCAAAATTTGCCCACCTTCTGCAACCTGCGCGATCGGGCATTTTGCGTAGTCTATTTTTCGCAGCCGGGTCTGCGTCCTTAGACAGAGTCCTTACTGTGTTGCACTCTGCCTGAAGAGAGAAAGCGGACTTCCTAACTCCGAGGTTTTTCTTTGACTTACATGGAATTGTTTATTTAAGTCGTCTTGCCTGGTTCATTCGTGTTACCGGGGGTGTCTTATTTACTCCACAACAACCTATTATCTATTTCTGAGAAAGAAATGCTGGCCCCAAATGTTAAATATAAAATCACAACCATAATCATTATTATTATTATTATTATTATTATTATTATTATTATTTCTTCTTCTTCTGTTTATTTACTTGCATTCTTTATGTAGTTTACTCGTTGTTCGCCTGCTGCTTCTTAAAGGTAATATTCATTGCAAGTGTTAAACAGAAAAAGTAACACAATGCAAATAATTCTAGAACAATAATTATTATTTCTCTGAATCTACAATGTACAAACAGATGGTACACGAGGAATTCATCAAATGGCTAAGTGGGTGGGGGTGCGCTTTTATTTCACTCGCGATTCTGTTCATTCAAGATGCCATATTTGGAATAGGCTTTTGATTAATAGTGAACAGACTGTCATCATATTTCGAATTTGCTGTTGAAGGCGTTTAAAATTTCATAAACTGGGTAGACTGCGTGTGAGCAAATTGATGCTTCCGAAACATTCCAAGGAAGTCCACAAGTTGGTTTGCCTGTCTTCAATCAATAAATCATGACAGATTTTGAATAACACTTAACACTTGTAATCGAATAGTATCACTATTGATGCACATTAAACTATCTGTGGTTACGTTGAGCAAACTGGATTCCGATTTCAAAGATATTCTGTTCTTTTACAGTATGTATTTGGTAGCTATATGAGAACATTTTGCGGAAAAGCATTGTCCTTATGCATAAATGACTGTTTTGGCTTTTCATAAATAAGGTACGGTATTCTTCTTCTGTAGTGACCTGTTCGATGACAGTTTTTTTTTTTACCCACAATATGTTGCATACTTTTTCATGGCATATCATATGATTTAGTCAAGTCTCTGCTAGCCAAGGATCTTCCAGCATTAGGGTGAAGATCGTAAATGCAATTTTAGCGTGACTGCGAGAAGAGTTGTGGCAACAAACGCGGAAAAATATGTCGTATTTTCTTCTGAAGTAAAAAGTTTGTACCCTTATTTTACCTTTTCACATTTCTATAGATTTACACACACACACACACACACACACACACTCACACACATACACACATACGCACATATATATATATATATATATATATATATATATGGTTGGATTGATGTGAGATTAGAACCTGGGTTTCACTTTTGCGATCGTCAGACAAACTGATTAATTTGGGAATGCGGGAATCGTCGTCGTGATTTCACGACGACGATTCCCCACCCCCATAATAACATCAATACACGCAAACTACATAAACCCAATTTAAAAAAAAATTCAGTCTGTCTGACGATCGCAAAAGCGTGAAACCTAGGGTCACCAACTGATACTGAGCGCTTTCTAATAAGTACTGCGCATATATATATATAAATAATTATATATATATATATATATATATATATATATATATACATGCACACAGAAGATATATATTCATTGTGAGGTAATACGGACTGATGTTCCTGTTTTGACACACAGTTTACCCAACCGGCTTCGCGATGAGGTGAGGCGTTACCCTAACCTGATCTCGAACGTCACTTCCGGTCTAATGACGTCACTTATATATTTGGTGAAAACATAGAATATGATGTGTAATTAATATCATTAACGAATGGGTGGTTGAATTGGATTGAATCGGATCGGGTCGCTCATCTTGCATTAAAATTCTAACGATAATAAAAGCCAGGGATCTTTGCAATAAAGGATATAGTCTGATATTTCTCTTGAACTTAACAAACATTCTACGACATTGTTCCACTTTCTGCTATTCCTCCAATGCTTAATGAACATGCTGTTTCTTCCAATATATATATTTTTTTTGCTGTGGTGTTCGCAAGGCACTGGGTCCACTGAAGGTAGATTGTTACAGAGAAAGATGTAGAGCCTATGTCTATATGTGCGCAAGGTAACGGTATACCATTAACTTGAAAACTTTAAGATTGTAGTGATCGGAGAAGCAGCCTCTTAGGAGTCGGTTTCGCAATGCAGCAGTTCATTTTAAGAAGCTGCATGAGTGGGACTTACATTCGCCAGGGGTATACGAAAAAATGAGGGTGGTGCGCGACAATGTGCGTGTCATGGCGGATCTTATCTGTGAATATTAGGACTGGTCCTTTATTTTGGGAAAGGTGATCTGCTAGGCATCGGTTTTCAAAAGCAAAAAAGCGTCACCGCGGAAAACGATTATCAAATGGACGACCAAATGCCGTTAACTTCCGGTGACTGGAGAACGAACCCGGCGTTTTTCACATCTAAAGCGTCACCGCGGAAAACATAACGAATGCCGTCACTTCCGGTGACTAAGCGTTTTTCATCAACGTCTCACACAAACTAAGCAAAAAAACGAAACATTTACATATACTAACTTTCCTAACCAAAAACAATTACCAGAAACTACTTTATATACACATGGTGTCCGAATGGAATCCATGTGTACAGCCAAAAAGTAGAAGGTAATTTTCAGTCATCACCCCAAATATATCGCTGACAGGCTACGTTGCCGACCTCAGCCTATATATACACAGCGGATTTTTTTTCCACCAAATTAATCTTCTCGGCTGATTTTTGGCCGGGGGTTGAGCGACGAGCTCCCCCCTCTCACCTACGCTGACCACACGAAGCAGCAGCAGCCAGGCCAGCAGACATCAGCAGCAGCTAGAGCCAGCAGAGCAGTCCGGCCTCCTCCTCATCATCAGCAGCAGCAGCAGCTAGAGCCAGCAGAGCAGTCCGGCCTCCTCCTCATCAGCAGCAGCAGCAGCTAGAGCCAGCAGAGCAGTCCGGCCTCCTCCTCATCAGCAGCAGCAGCAGCAGCCAGCAGATATCAGCAGCAGCAGAGATAGTCCAGCATGAGCATCCGGCCTCCAGCATATCCTCCTCATCAGATAGCAGCAGCAGCCTATCCTCGGTTACATGATATGCAGCAGCCTATCCTCGGCTACATGATATGCACTAGCCTATCCTCGGTTACATGATATGCACTAGCCTCATCCTCGGTTACATGATATGCACTAGCCTATCCTCGGTTACATGATATGCACTAGCCTATCCTCGGTTACATGATATGCACTAGCCTATCCTCGGTTACATGATATGCACTAGCCTATCCTCGGTTACATGATATGCACTAGCCTATCCTCGGTTACATGATATGCAATAGTCTGCCCTCGATTACATAATATGCAATAGTCCTTTTCAGGACTAACCTAGCCGCGTCCTTTTATTAGGACTACCAAGCTGCGATCCTGCGCGACACTCCACCCAAGGACGAACTGCTACACCACAGCACTGTCCGCGTCGACCCTCTCTCTCTGCAAGTACAGACATCAAAGTACAGACATCTGGGGATCGACTGGACCTAGAACATCGCTGGTTCCATTCGGCCTACCTCCAAGCTGTCGCCTTGAGACCTGACAACACTCCTCCAAGACTACACGACCGAACTACTACAAACGATTATCTGTAAATATTCGTGCCAAATTTATTTAATAAAATTTGGCTTAAACTTTTACATCCTCGTTTTTGTTGTCCTTGCTTCGATCGTATTATCTTATATTATTTTTCCGTTTGCGGGGTTAACAGTCAACCTGCTTAGCGCCGCAACAAGTGGTGACCCCGATATTTACGATCGAGCAAGATGGCAACTGACGAGTGGGAACAGAACACTCTCATAAATGTGGCAATGCCACTCACAAACCTCCCTCCGTACAACGAGCAGAACACCAAGAACTGGTTTTTACAGCTGGAAGCCATTTTCTCGGTACGGAAAATCACATCACAACAAGCAAAATTCGTCAACGTGGTACAAGTTTTGCCACCTTCAGTTGTCGACGAAGTAGCCGACATCTTGGAACACGTACCCGAGCAGGAGCCATATACTCGCCTCAAGGAGGCTATTCTGAAACGAACCGGCCGTTCGGACGAGGAACTGCTCCGGGAACTTTTTACCCACGTCACCAGGGGCGACAGAACACCCTCACAGCTTCTACGCTTCGCGAGGAGCCGACTGGGGAAACATTCCATGGCCGAATCAATCTTGCGCGAACTGTGGATGGACAAGTTACCCACTACCATAACGCAGATATTGGCACCAATCGCTGATAACACTCCACTGGACCAGTTAGCAAACTCCGCTGACCGCATCGCAACTAAACTGGACCAAGGGAGTGTGCCGTGCAACGCCCAGACGACACATCAGCCAAAGAAACAGACCTGGAAAAGGCAGTAGCTGACCTGCAGCATCAGCTGCAGGATATACGAATGCTCCTTTCCCGCACATCGAGAGGCCCGATGCCGGCGACCGGCGGTTGGCGACGGAGAGCACGGAGTACCAGCAGGGGTCGACGAGTCGACCCGGAATTATGCTGGTACCATCACAGATTCGGCACCAGGGCAAAGAATTGCTCGGCACCCTGCAAATACAGCTCCAAAACCAAGTCGGAAAACTAAACAGCCGGCGGGTAGGAGCGGCAGAACCTCCCGGCAAAAAACATACGAAGCCGCCTTTTCTACGTATGGGACCGACGGAACAACATAAAGTTTCTAGTGGACACGGGAGCAGCTATCAGCGTTATACCCCCAAAGAACAGCAAGACCGAAAGGCGACCCCGTATAAACTCCAGGCAGCAAACGGCTCGACGATCGAGACATATGGAGCCAAGACACTGACTCTGAACATCGGTATGCGGCGCGATTTTACATGGACTTTCACCCAGGCAGACGTAAAAACGCCAATACTCGGTGCAGATTTCCTGGCCCATTATGATCTAGCCGTGCACATGAATACGAGAACTTTATCAGACAATACCACGAACATTGCTGTTAAAGGCACCCTCTCTCGACACAACACCACTGGAATCAGTGTGACAACTTGCCACGGACGAGAGTACATCGAGATCCTAAACAGATACTCGGACCTCATTCAACCACTCGCAGGTACCGGTCCGGCAAGACACCAAACACAGCACCATATAAAGACCAGTGGACAGCCTACTTTTTCCCACCCACGACGACTTCCTCCTCATAAGCTGGAATACGCCCAAAAGGAGTTTAACAACATGCTGCAGGACGGATTTATACGACCCTCCGATAGCCCATACGCCTCACCCCTACATCTCGTACCTAAGCCGGGAAGCACAGACTTTAGGGTATGCGTCGATTATAGAAGATTAAACGCTACAACCATACCCGATCGCTATCCGGTCCCGCATATTCACGATTTCGCCTCAGGGTTGCAGGGCACTCGCGTCTTTTCGAAGATAGACCTAACTAAGGCCTACCACCAGATCCCCATAGCTCCGGAGGACATTCCAAAGACAGCCGTAACCACTCCCTTTGGTCTCTTTGAATACCTCAAGATGCCCTTTGGCCTGAGGAATGCTGCACAAACGTTCCAACGCTTCATAGATGAGGTACTTCGCGGCTTAACGTACGCGTATGCCTACATCGACGACATACTGGTAGCCAGCATAGATGAGAACACACACAAAAAACATCTAAACGAAGTGTTCCAAAGAATAGCACTTTATGGACTCCGGCTGAACATGGACAAATGCACTTTTGGGGCATCTGAGGTGAACTTCTTAGGCCATCATATCGACAAGGACGGTATCACACCATTACCCGAGAAAGTCGACGCGATACAAAACTTCCCTACGCCGACATCCACAAAGCAAATCAGACGATTTATCGGTACGATAAATTTTTACCGCAGGTTCATCCCCAACTGCTCGACAATTCTCTCCCCGTTAACAAACATCATAGAGCGGAAGAACAAACAAATTACCCTAGAGGGAGATACCTTGCGGGCTTTCGAAACGGCAAAGACAGCGCTGATAAACTTCACAAAACTCTCATTCATCGAAAACGACCCGGAAACAAGAATTTTCCTTACAACAGACGCTTCCGACGTTGGAATAGGAGCAGTAGTGGAGCAGCAAGTGAACATGACGAGACAGCCGATAGCCTTCTTCTCAGCTAAACTCTCTGCAGCCCAGAGAAGATACAGTACCTTCTCACGAGAACTCCTGGCGATCTACCTGTCCATACGTCATTTTCGACATCTTCTGGAAGGCAGACATTTCACTATCTTCACGGATCACAAACCACTGATCAACGCGATGAATGTCAGCGCAGACAAGTATACATCCCGTGAAACACGTCACCTCGACTACATCTCACAGTTTACGACGGACATCAGACACGTCCAAGGAAAGAACAACACCGTCGCAGACACATTGTCCAGAACAGACGTCAATACCATGGATAACGATGTTTGGAGCCAGGAGCTGATAGCCGACAAACAAAAAGACGATACGACGATACCTGACATCATTAAGGAGACTTCTTTGAAACTGCAGGAATTCCCGTGTCCGTTCAGCGATAAAACTCTTTTCTGTGACACCGCACTGGATACTCCGAGACCGTACATTCCTCCATCTCTTAGAAAAAAGTATTTCTCCATCTCCACAATCTATCCCATCCGAGCAAGCGAGCAACCGTCAAGCTTATCGCCGATCGATTTGCGTGGCCCAACATGAATTCAGACATTAGGAATTGGGTCTCAACCTGCATACAATGTCAGAAATGCAAAATTCAGAGGCACACAAAATCACCAGTTGGAACATTCGCCACACCCGACGCACGTTTCAGCCACATCCACGTTGACCTCGTCGGGCCTCTACCAATGTGCCAGGGGTACCAATACCTTCTAACAATCATAGACCGTTTTTCGAGATGGCCAGTCGCTGTGCCGATTAAGGACATTTCCGCTACCACAGTTTCTAAAGCCATTCTCACCAACTGGATTACTAACTTTGGCGTACCACAAGTTCTCACTACAGATCGGGGACCACAATTTCAGTCCTCGCTTTTCCGAGAATTCTCTCAACTTTTGGGTGTCAGACACATTAAAACGACGGCTTACCATCCTTGCGCAAACGGCCTCGTGGAGAGATTTCACCGATCCTTAAAGACGTCCCTGTCAACCAAACTCGACATACACAACTGGGTCGACAACCTCCCCATGACCATGCTCTCTTTGCGGAATACCCTCAAGACGGATTTAGGGTGTTCGACAGCAGAGCTCGTGTTTGGTACGCCTCTCTCCTTACCAGGGCAATATTTTCACCTTCCGCAGTACTCTTGCACATCCACACCAAGTTCTTTCGTGCAAGATCTGCGCCACAAAATGGACAAACTTACATACACTCCCCACGAAAACAAACCACAAGCTCCTACTTACCACAGAATTTGGATACCTGCGATTTTGTTTTTGTTAGGAACGACGCCGTAAAAAAACCTCTCACACCTAGCTACCAAGGCCCTTTCAAAGTTCTGAAGCGTTCTAAGAAATTTGTCACGATCATGCGCGGCAAAAACAAAGATACAGTCTCCATCGACCGACTTAAACCAGCTTGGTTAGAGGAAACTTCTCCCGAGCCAGACTTACCAACAACGACGGAAGATGAAACAACAACACCAGTCGTACGAACAAAATCAGGCAGAAGAGTTCATTTTCCTGCCAAACTAAAGACTTACATTCTTTTTGTGAATTGATCACGATCAATCCTCTAGGGAAGGGGCCTTATCGCACCCGGCCGGAAGTTACTGCCGGCTACTCAAACATCTAAAAGCGTCACCGCGGAAAACATAACGAATGCCGTTAACTTCCGGTGACTAAGCGTTTTTCAGTCAACGTCTCACACAAACTAAGAAAAAACGAAACATTTACATATACTAACTTTCCTAACCAAAAACAATTACCAGAAACTACTTTATATACACATGGTGTCCGAATGGAATCCATGTGTACAGCCAAAAAGTAGAAGGTAATTTTCAGTCATCACCCCAAATATATCGCTGACAGGCTACGTTGCCGACCTCAGCCTATATATACACAGCGGATTTTTTCCACCAAATTAATCTTCTCGGCTGATTTTTGGCCTCGGGGTTGAGCGACGAGCTCCCCCCTCTCACCTACGCTGACCACACGAAGCAGCCAGGCCAGCCAAGCCTCCTCCTCATCAGCAGCAGCAGCAGCTAGAGCCAGCAGAGCAGTCCGGCCTCCTCCTCATCAGCAGCAGCAGCAGCTAGAGCCAGCAGAGCAGTCCGGCCTCCTCCTCATCAGCAGCAGCAGCAGCTAGAGCCAGCAGATATCAGCAGCAGCCTATCTCAGATATGCACTAGCCTATCCTCGGCTACATGATATGCACAGCCTATCCTCGGTTACATGATATGCACTAGCCTATCCTCGGCTACATGATATGCACAGCATCCTCGGTTACATGATATGCACTAGCCTATCCTCGGCTACATGATATGCACTAGCCTATCCTCGGTTACATGATATGCACTAGCCTATCCTCGGCTACATGATATGCACTAGCCTATCCTCGGTTACATGATATGCACTAGCCTATCCTCGGTTACATGATATGCACTAGCCTATCCTCGGCTACATGATATGCACTAGCCTATCCTCGGTTACATGATATGCAATAGTCTGCCCTCGATTACATAATATGCAATAGTCCTTTTCAGGACTAACCTAGCCGCGTCCTTTTATTAGGACTACCAAGCTGCGATCCTGCGCGACACTCCACCCAAGGACGAACTGACTACACCACAGCACTGTCCGCGTCGACCCTCTCTCTCTGCAAGTACAGACATCCAGGGATCGACTGGACCTAGAACATCGCTGGTTCCATTCGGCCTACCTCCAAGCTGTCGCCTTGAGACCTGACAACACTCCTCCAAGACTACACGACCGAACTACTACAAACCAATTATCTGTAAATATTCGTGCCAAATTTATTTAATAAAATTTGGCTTAAACTTTTACATCCTCGTTTTTGTTGTCCTTGCTTCGATCGTATTATCTTATATTATTTTTCCGTTTGCGGGGTTAACAGTCAACCTGCTTAGCGCTGCAACAAACGTAAGAGCTCTTGACCAATTTACTGCCGCATTTGAACTTTGTTTTCGTGGGTCTTTTAGCCTTATATCAAACAAAGGCAAAACCATCCGTAAATATCAGTATACTACGACGACAAGATTTAAAACGCGCCAATTCAGTCATTTGGGATTCTCTATGTATAAGCATATTCCTTATCATTTGGGATTCTCTATGTATAAGCATATTCCTTATCATTTATCATTTCAACAAGCTTGGTATATGTATTTTTATAATTAAGATAGATGATGAAAGATTTTTACTTTCGATATATGCTCTAATCCCAATAGAGGAAACTTGTAGTTTAATTAACTGAAAACGATACTTACTTGTTAAATGCTTTTCTTTTCAAAAAATGCAGAAACCAGACGTTAATATTTTTATATAGAAATAGAGTTTCGCTGCTGATACTGGAGTTTGCTCACATATCACCAGAGAACAAACACAGGCGATCCCATTTTGAATAAGTAGATCACGTGATGGTAAAGGAAATGTATATATGGGAATTAGCGTGGCGTCAAAGTGATCACTTTCCGAATTACTTCGGAGGTGTGCTTGTCGAACTCTCTGCCTTTTGGGCAAAGAGGGACCCAGACGATGATATGCCAAAGGGAAGAGTCTCGTCTGGGGTGGTAGACAGCTACCCGACCCCGTTTTTTACGAGGTCTACGGGGAGATTTTGCCCGAGCCTACGGCCACGGATACCTCACAATAAACTCGACCTTGTGTCACATCCGACTGCGTGGGGCGGTAGGTGAATATCATCACTATCCGGATTACTTCGGAGGTGTGCTTGTCGAATTCTCTTCCTCCGTGTAGAGAGGAACCCAGACGAGGATATGCTGATGGACTGAGTCTCGTCTGGGGGTGGTAGACAGCTACTCGACCCCGTTTTTACGGGATCGGGGAATTTTTAACAGAGCCTAAAGGATCGGATACCCCACAATAAACTTGGCCTTGCACCGCATCCGAATGTGTGGAGCGGTCAGTGAATATCTTATTATACGGATTACTTCTGAAGTGTGCTGGTCAAACTCTTTTCCTACAAGCAGAGATGATTTCCAGGCGAGACTATGTCGAAGGGCAGCGTCTCGTCTCGAGAGAGAGCTACCCATTTTTTTACGAGATCTACGGGGAATTTTTAGCCGAGGCTACGGGATCGGATACCCCACAATAAACTTGGTCATGTGCCGCATCCGACCGCGTGGGGCTTTTAGTGAATTTTTCACTATAAGGATTACTATTCGGATCACTATTCGCTGGTTACTTTTCGAGCGATTATTATCGAGCGCAAGTACTATTAGTGCGTGTGTTATTCAAAGGCGTCTGGCACGAGTATTGTTCAACGGAGTTACTATAGTTGTATACTGCGATTACAAGGTCTCTACTACAACGAGTATTACAAAAGTGACAAGAAGTGTTCGTTGACATCACAAAAATATACACCTGATTCTGTTCTGAAATTAATCTTTTTTTTTTTGTTCCACCTTCTAAGTATAAAGATTTCTTTCCCTAGGATGATACGCTCATACAGGATAGCCACTGAAAAACTGAAGATTTTAAAAAGTCTTAACTTGTCCGTTTTCAATTTTTTTTTGCAAGTTATAGAGCATTCAATGGAGATTAAAATGGCTAGGTATCATATTCTATTCCAATGAAAGATCATGCTCAGAGAAAATTTCAATGTTATTATATCTCCAAGCGAAGCCTTGATTCGGAACCTAATCGCCCGGTTTGAAAGAACTGGATCAGTCGGCGACCTTACGGGAAGAGGCCCTAAGCACACTGTGTGCACTGACACAGCGGTGGAAGCTGTACGGCAGAGTGTACTTCAGTACCCATCAGCCTCTACTTGTCATCGCTGTGCTCAACTAAACATCGCCAGAACAACGCTTCAGAAGATTCTGAAACTGTGTTTAAAAATGTTTTCAAAGAAGATTCAAATCGTTCAAAAATTAATAAAAAAACAAAACATATGTTTGTAAAAATTATTTTTGTTTCCTATCATTCAGTATTTCACTGGCTATCAATATATTGTTTAAATATCTTCAATATACACGAAGAATATTCCCAAAACATTCAATATGTTCAATTAGATAAAATTAGAATTCATAAAAAGTTAAGATGAAAAAATCCTGTGAAAGTATTCCATCTAAGAACTGACATACAATTTATACACGTACATTTCTAGCAATACTCAGTTGGGCAGAGTATTACGAGAGAGGAGGATTTCTTTGGTAACAAAGAAAAGAATATTGAGGGGTTACGTGATATCTGCCCTTCTTTGCCGCAGCGAATGTTGGACGATTTTCTCAAAGATGAAAAAGAGATTCGAGGCGATAGAGATGTAGTTCTACAGAAGGATGCTAAGGATATCATGGACCGAGCGTATGAGCAAAGATGAGGTCTTTGAGAGGATGTAAACAGGGAGGTGGCTTATACTTGACATCAGGAAGAGGCAGCTGAAGTTTCTGGGACACATAATAAGGAAGCAGGGCCTGGTGAATTTAATACTCACGGGTCGAATAAAGGGAAAAAGAGACAAGGAAAAACAACGCGTGACATACCTAGCGGACTTAAGCAAGTGGATAACAGAACGTTGTTTGGGGGAGGAAACAGAGGGAAGGAACTTTTTGAGAGCTGCAAGTGAAAGAGGGAGGTGGAGAGCTATGATCGTCTACGTCCTGAAAGGATATGGTACATAAGAATAAAGAAGAGAATCTACACCATTAGGGCACAACAGATATAAATGTCCGTAACCTAGACATATAGCTTAAACAATGATTCTGATAGAGAATGAAAATCTACAGTATCGGAAACATCTAAAAATCATACATTTTCATGGTTCCTTTAGGATTTCGTAATGTCTTTGGAAAAAAAAACCTAAACTGTTTGTTCCTTCAACTTCGTTCCCAAGCTTCTAACGTAGAAAAGGGTAATGTCTCTCTCAGGCTTCAGTATTTTCACGCTTGAATTAAAAGGACAAAAACACCTTTTCTTTCATATACAGATGCCTGTGTCAGGGATTTGTAAGCCATGCCATTCAGTAAATTAACATTTACACCCACAGAGGTTAAATATTTACAAAGTATTAAAATATGTATTTGATCCATCTTGTTTGCATGCCCGCAACAATCATAGCGACTCATTTTAGCACCGGGTTCAATCAGGCGTTTACCAATTTGCAATGAGCCATATACGCAAGGACAATGAACGGCACTGATTTCAATTAAAAGAACAAAGACTGTTAATATTAGAACCCCGAGTTAAAAGGGTATTAAAGGAACTCGCTGAAATTAGCATCACATGCGCCCAGAGATTAAATTTGTTGATTATTTTCTTTATCTTTTTCAGTTTAGGAGGGATATCCATACGACGTTATATAGGGTTGGATTCCAACCATCTCTATGAAAACATGCTGACAACAGACACTGCTTTTTGTCTAAAATAAAAAGAAGCGATGAATAATAACAGTTTACGGAGAAGACGAATAGAATCTGTTTTGAAGAATTATGCCAAAGAATTCCAAAGATTACTTCCTGCTGGTTACGCATAGAAACATTTGCAACTCTTTCAATGATACTACAGAATATACTGATTTGTCGCAAGAACTCCTATTTCGCTTAAAGATCCAATTCACACCAAAAACTAATTCTTTACTCGGTATTTTTCGTAATCTGTAAGAAATGATATTGATATTCGGGCAACGAGTGATGTCTCATTCATTCCAAAAATATTATTTCAAATAGTGCATGAAATGTTTCCATTACATTTAAATACGAGATGAAATGAAATGATTATCTCCGTGAGTGGCGGTTGCTTTTCTTGATCAATTTTTGTTCTCTTTGTCTATCGCTTATTAAACACAATAAATTATTTATCCAATATTTTGTGCGCCAGTGATTTCCGAAATGTCTTAAAAATTTTTCTGAGCGAGTTGAATTCAGATACTCTTCAACATAAATTTTTAAATATCAATTTCAATAATCTAAACTGAATTAAATAAATTAAAAAAAAAAACATTTAAAAAATGAAAAAAATAAGTATGGTAAATTTTCATGTTTGTTAAATGCTGAATAAAGATATTTAATTTAAGTTGTATATAGTAAATAGTCAATAATATTGTATGCAATTATGTAAGAAAATAATATAATTTAATATAAGTTTTATGTTAAAAGAATCAGAGCTGCTAGAATTGAAAAATTGTGAATATTTGTCTTTTAATTGCAGATTCTAATCAGCCGAAGACATTTACTCCCGCATTTTGATTGCCTTTTTAATTTTATTTTAGCTTTCATTTGGTGATTTGTTTTGTCTGTATGTGTATATATTGAATAAGTTATCAACTTTGACATTTGATATGATATTTATCATCTGACATATTTCTTTTTCTTGTTGGGAATTCAAATGTTTATTGTCATTTTTGTGTGTGACATTTAAAAACTTGGACATTTAACAGACAATTCTCTGTCATTTTGCGGAGTTTTTTTTTTTTTAAACTTATTTCCTAATATATGAATGATTGCAATATTATATATTGTATAATTTTCCCATTAAGCGTTAAAAGCAATATAAACGTATTCGGTTAACCTTTCCGAATAGATTTCCTGTAGATATTCGCATGACACCCAGTAAGTATTGAATGAACTACACACAAGTATTGAGTTGCGAGTAAAGCTCACTTTAAATTACACACCTATAGACGCAGTTTTGTAAATTATCTATCTATAATTTTATTGAAAAACGACATCATCTTCAGGATATAAGTTGTAATAACTTTCATCAAGCAA